GAAAAGTCTTAGTGGGATGTATTCTTCCTTCTCCTCAGAGGTTGTTTCTGTACTGTTGGAGTTCTTGTTGGAGGCTATAAATTCCACTGACTCCTCGGATCTTCCAGTAAACACCCAAACTGGCCCAGGACTACTTATTTCGTTGAACGAGTGGAAGCTTGTGATAACAAAAATTTTAAATAAGGAACCGGAGTTGCTTATTGCTCTTCTGAATGCAGTTCTTGATAAGATTGAGACTCTGGAAGCAGTGATATATGAGACCGGTAATCCTGTGACCTATTCTTTGTATTATTTGTTCCATATTCAGATATAGACTTGTAGAACTTATGCTGAGGTCGTGTATAGATTCAAATTATATTTTACAGGGTAACTAGGTTGCTTTTTTATCCTGGACATTGTTAAGTGATCTAGTCGGTAATAACGATCACATCAGAACAGTCTGATTTCTTGAGTTTAGGGAGTTTTTGAATTTGCATGCTGGGTAATTTCCTTCCCTGATTGTATCTGATATTCTCAGTTCATAGCATGAATTCAACGTCATTTGGTACAGCTAGACATACTCACCAAAACTTTAAATTATCCAAATGTACTTATCTTGGTTGCTAAGTTTATGAATTTGTCTAGGACGGTTTCACACATCATCAGACCGTGGGGCAGAGATACTCCAAGTTGATCACCTCTCTTCTCTGTTTACTTGGCTCGTTGGAAATTTCGAAGGATTAAAGCCTCACCAAGAAAAAGACTCTGCAGTCGTAATCAAAGTTTCTTCAGCAGAAAAAACTGTCTCAAAAGCAATTCTGATGGAACTCCTACGTAAATGTCTTGTTGTATCAGCTTCTGCTAATAACAAGCTCGTGGATTCTGCCGCCCATCTTGCACAGCTGACAGGGGACAGCTTCCTAGTGGGAAAACTGCACAAACTCTCTTCGTTTGTTTCATCAAATTCAGATGGTACTGAAGAAGAAGCTGTTCGTATAAACTTAAATAATCAATTTAACGAGCAAGAAGAATCTATAAGTCATGCAGCAGAGAAGCTAGAGCTGATTAAGCGTCGCATAAGGAAGAGCAAAGCAGTTAAGACCGCAGATGCTCATGTCGGAAACACTAACAGATGGGTTCTGGCAAAATCATGGAACCCGTGTCCAATAGGAATGTTGCCTCGAGCTGTAGGGTCTTCCGGCTGCCTTCCTGTTCTGGACGTTAACAATGTCCCGGAAAAGGTTCCTGAATTACTAGGAAGAAAAGAGTTGTGGGAGTTGAACCAATGCAGCGTCAAGAGAAATAGTTCCGAAATGCAGCTACTAGATAACCCATGTGCTAAGAAGATGAGGGTGACATCGGATGGTTTTGCATCGGAAGGTGAGGATGTTCTATCACCAGAAGATGTCGACGGACATCTCATGATAGGCGGGGCGTGGAAGAAAGTCGGGGAAGAGGAGCTACTTGCCATCAAGTCTGCTGTGAGGATATTAATCTAGTCGCCTACTTTTTTCATGCAAGGAATAGAAGGATAGTTAAATTTTGGAAGCTCATTGTGGTGGCTTGCAGGTTGAGCTTCAAATCTGAGTTATAGTAGTGGGATTGGCCACTACAGCAGTTTTGGTTTATATTTTCCAGTGATTTATGTTTTGTCAGAAGATGTGGCGCAAAACTGAGTGTAGTGGCGTTTTACAATTCATGCAGCCAATCACACTTAGTGGGATAAGGCTTTGTTGTTTGTATTTATTTTTTGTAATTTAATTAAGATGTTGTTAGGTGATTATTTATCACTCTTAATCTTATGCTATTCAGACGACATGTAATTACTCGAATCTATGATTTATATATTTTTTATCTTAGGATCAAACTTTATCCTTGTTACATTTTCACAAAAGGGAAAATCCGATAATAGCAACAACAAAGGTAAAATGGAAAATATGAAAGCAATTGAGAAGCGATTTATGTTTATCCCGTTTTCTCTTGGCACACCCATGCATAGTGTGCGAAAATTATTTTCCCTTCTCATTACACCTTCTCCATTCAGCACCACCAATCCAACGTTCATTTCCGATCTACAACAATTCAAAGGTAGAACATTTGTTCAGTACAATACAACAGCACGAACGTCCATTTTCTTTAAAAAAAAATTTATTGTGCTCAGAAAAAATGATATATTGCATGTTATTTATTATATAATTAAAGAAATGTTTTATTTTTTAAGTACCTCTATGCTTAAATAATGACATGTGGTACGGACCTATTGAAAAATAATTCCCTCCCTCCGTCCCATCCGGTTAAAACATGTACAATGATTAACTAATGCGGTTTGAGTATTCACATGTTTTGAACATGTCCCAGAACAGCAAAAGGGGCATGTGAATGCGAATAAGATTTCACGAGTATGCCCCACCGCACTGCAGAGATAACTTATATGACATGTGCTTATAACGTAATGTGATATTTTGATTCAGTAATATAATATTTTATTAATTATTTAACATGATAAAATTATAAAAAAAAAATAATGAAAAATATTTAAAAATATTGAGTTTTAATGATAAGAACGAAATAAAAGGTAAATTGAATAGTACAATGATTGATTTTTTAGTGTAAAAATATGATTTTTCGTTAAAATAAATAGCATCGAAAGTTTTTCGTTAAAATTTTTTTATATGTTACTAGTATACTATTTATATAAGGTTTTTTTTGTTTCGATGACAGGGGAGGGACTGTGCGTGGGTCCCAAGCCTTGCCCATTGTTCTTTATTTTATGGAGAAGTAACATATATGTAAAGATTTTATGGTATTCTTTTTTTTGTTTTTTTGAATTTTGATGATTTTAAAAGATAGAAATAAATAAGTACTATATTATTTAACTTAATAACATTTGATGATTATTTTAGATCATTGATTAATTTCAACGACTGATCTTGCTCGTAAGATAACCTTTGTCTTAATAAAAGTTAAAAATTGTCCTAGTTTCTTGATTAAGTTCAATGAATTATTTTAGTTGTTATTTTTTGGGAGGAGGGAGAGTAGGCTTTTCATAATAAGTTAATAATAATATGGTTCAAATTTATTTTTAACGAAAATCGAACCTAAAGCCTCCCAGTTATAAATAAATACCACTAAATCGTTACTAAGTTGCTTTTTTTTTTTAAGAAACTGTTATTAGTACTCCACAAATCTCATTCTACACTCCTCACAAGTATTTTTTTTTTTCTAATTATAGAAATTTTGAAGTGCCAAAATAAGATTTTTGAAATAGCAAAAACAATTCTGTTTTTTTTATATTATTATTTCCTTTTTGCACGCCCGATAGGTTGCTCCATATCTATAATTAATATAGGGCACATCACACCGCACAACGTTTATCATGTTTCAGCTTTATCTACAGGAGGAGGATTCTCCTCTTAATCTTTATCTCATTTTTTTTCCTTTTATTTGAACGATTACAATTAAGTCACGTTAATATTTTATATTGAATTTTTTTTATAAAGACATTAAGATAAAAATTAATGTGCGAACGAAGATAAGGAAAGATGATAAGAATAAAAAAGAAAAGAATCATACTCATTATCAATATAACTTTTTGATATCTCCACCCTGTAGACATCGATCAAAGTCCAATTGAATTTGATGGGCCTATTCAACCACCATCACGTGGTCCGTATTTAATTTGTTGCTTTATTTGATGTATCATGATTCATTTTTTGTACGAGTAAGGAAAGATGGAAAATTGAGCGCACAAGGACGACATGATCAAGAAATTCCTAAGTAAATGATCCGGATCCTTTTCGCCTAGCTGGCCGGCTTTATATCTAGAGGAGAGTAGGTGGTGTCACGTCATGTGGTTTGGAGGGAGATTTTCTACCCTTTTATTCTTGACTTCTTTCATTTTTTTTTTTATATATTATTTTTTATCTTATTATCTCTATAAAAAATTAATATAACATGTTAATATGATTTAATCGTAACTATTCAAATAAGAGGGCATGGAAAGATAGAGAAATTATGAGGGTAAAAAATTCTCCTCGTTGGAGCTTTGCTTCGGATATATATCATTACATCATACATGAGGGACATATCTTATTTATGACATATACTAATTTATGATATATAATATATGTGTGTGTATGTGTGAATATATATATACACGCATACTAATTTATGATATTTAGGTATTTTATTATGAATTCAATAAGAACATTAATATTTCATGATATTTAGGTATTTGATTATGTATTTAAGAAAATCTATATTTTTTTAATTTCACATGTTAGTAACTTTACACACATGACATGTGAATGTTAAAAAGTAAAATAATTCTCATATTCATATTTTAATAAGTGCAAGAAATTCAATAATCACGATGAATCTAATTACTATTACGTGTAAGTAAACATGTTCTAAATTTGAAGGACAAACTAATTATTAGATTATAGTTACAAGAAACTTAATATTCTAAATAATTAAATTAATGACAGGACAAAAGTTGTCATATAGTACTACTATCTAGTAGTTTTCTTCTTACGTTTGATTTTTTTTAAAACTGAATTTGAATCATATTATTGCTAATTTATTATAAAGTTAAGCATGATTCCTCAATGTAAATAATGTCGTAGTTGAAAAACAATGACAAAACAAAATGTAGATGTAGACACTGATTTTTTTCAAAACTTTGTACAGTTTCTGGAATCTTCTTCTTACTTCGAATGAGATATGTGGACCCGATATATCTTCTGCTGATCAGATCAGGATCCTCTCTTAATCTAAAGATGAGGATCTTCATGATCAATGGATGTGGACTGTTAAATTTTTATCCAACGGCTACAAACAGAAGATCTCTTTAAAGTTATAATAATTATAACTGTTAGATTTTTATCTCGGTTCACATCTTTTGGTCATGAGAATCCTCATCCTTAAATTAGGAGAGGATCCTGGTCCTGCTGATCTGCCTGCCTTTATATACGCGCGTTATACTTTCATCAGAGTCATCACCACATACAACAATAACTTAGAGAGAGAGAGAGAGATGAGGGATGCAGGAAGTGATGAGTTTTCTGGTGATGGGGAAATACAGGAGCAGCAGAAGCAGAGGTGGTATTCATCATCTGCATCAAAGTTGGTGCTACCTCAACTGTGTTTAAATCACGTGTCGTTTGTTTGCAAGTCGGTTAGCAAATCAGTGAGGTTCTACGAGGATGTCTTAGGTTTTGTGCTCATCCAACGCCCTTCTTCCTTCAAGTTTGAGGGAGCTTGGTACGTGTTCTTTCATACTTCCATGCCCATTCTTTTTTCCAATTTAACACACTCACACGCTATGTCGATCACTCACCATTTAACCTATGTATATATAAAGGGTAGTGCTATTCGAACACTCATTTTTACTTTTCCCTCACTCATCTTAATAATTTTTTACTGATGGATCGAATGCATTGAAAAAGATTATTGATAAAAATTAACAAGGTATATAAGAAGTAAAAATTAGTGTGTAAATGACAGTACGTTGATGTATATTTCAAAAGAAAAGGGCTTATTGCTTTATGTGATACTAGAGCTTCATAGAAAAAAAAAGATTAATTAGTCAGATTCAATACCTTGTTTAACAATCATAATTTAACAGTGTATTTTAGATTTTATTTTAGGAAAAGGATCCTCTTCTTATTCTTTTCCTAAGGATTTTAGAGATCTTATGATTGTGGTTGATTGTGACCGTTTATTATATATCTTGCGATCATTTTTTGTTAGGTATTATTTATATTTAATTTTAAATTTTAAAATAATTTCTGATCGCATAATATATGATGAACGGTCACGATCACAAGATTCTTAAGAAAATGTTCTGGCGTGTATCTTTTTCAATTATTTTAATTGTGTGTCATGTTTCATGCATAACACACATCACACCGGCACCCTCCATCAATAATTTGCCGGACACATTGACCACGTGTCTATGCGTGTGACCACATGACAATTTGACCCACATGTAAAGAACAAAGAAAGGAGAGAATTTTCAAGTTTCTCATGTTTATCTTTATCATGAGAAGAATAAAATGACTGATGGTATGACAAATTTAGACCATAAATTTGACATTGGTTTTCATGTTTTTTATGAGCCTCCTCCTTTTGTGAATAGGTTGATCTTTGAGGATGCTGTTGGGTTTTCTCATACCCGTTTTGTTAATAGTTGTTTTTCTTGGGTCTTTTGACTCCCAATTTTACCAAAAAAAAGAGAGATTTTTTATCGGTACACGAAGTATTACATTACGTGTTATTATATAAATGATGAAATAAAAATATATGATGAAACATCTATGTTTCGTCACAATGAAAATTTTCTTCACAAAAAGAGCGTTCTAAGGCCGATAAGCTTTTCAGCATAATCAAAATACGAACTATTTATTTTTATATAAATGCGTAAAATAATGTCTATCGTACTAAACGTGCCAAAAATAATTATGTATAAATCGAATTCAATTACGGTGTAGTTAATTAAATCATAGCTAAGATTAATGTTAATTAAATTATGATTAGGCTGTTCAACCATGGAGTGGGAATTCATCTGCTGGAGTCGGATACCATCAATGCCGCGGAAAAGAAATGCAGAAAGATAAACCCAAAGGACAACCACATCTCGTTCCAGTGCTCAGACATGGCGGTGGTGGTGCAGAAACTGGAGGAGATGAAGGTAGAGTACGTGACGGCGCAGGTAGAAGAAGGCGGAGTTACAGTTGATCAGCTCTTCTTCCATGACCCTGATGGCTACATGCTTGAAATTTGCAACTGTCATAATCTTCCAGTCCTTCCCATCTCCTCCTCATGCCCTCTCAACCTAATCACCAACACCAACCCAAACCATGCATCGTCGTCTTCGTCATCATCGTCGTCCTTCTACGGTACTTTCTTAATTCGTTTTTCTGCCTTGCTCTTAGTTAACGAAAATATTAAATTGTGGCAATAGTTCTTTAATTTTAATTCAATTGTAGCAATGGTCTCTTAACTAAAAATTCATTACCGTTGGTTATTCAAATCATCAAAACGTGCAGCTATGGTCCCTCACTAAAAATCTCGTACGTCCCTCAACTTTAACCCAATTTTAGCAATAATTCCTCAATTTTAACTCAATTTTAATAAAATTATAACAAAGTTGTCAAAAAATGATCATAGCTACACGTTTTGATAAGTTGAGGGACATCAATCGTATCAATGTTTCTTCTAACATAACTTATTTTGACAAATTTCTAACGAAGTTGATGAAAAAGACCATTGCTCTAATTTTTTAGTCTTTCGATCCGGTGACCATTTGCACGAAGATCTGTGGTAACGTTCGTCGGACATGTATAAAATGCAGGGAAGCGAAGTTCGGAGAAACCGTGTTCTGGAGAAGCAGCAACGCTAATGATGGAGAGTTTGGTGATGGATGTGATGAACATTTCCATGTGATCGAGATTTTTGTTTCCGAATTGATGCAACTTTATACGGCGGATATTGCGAAATTGTTGAATGTAGTGTGTGAAGAGGATGGCTACCGACCTAAGCTTAAGTGAAATAGGCCAGAAGAGTGTGAACCTTTTCTAGTACCTAAGTTCGATAGTTTGATGAATTATTGTCAGATATTGGCCAATTGTACGATGCGATGATTACGCTTTTACTATAAATAAAAGGGTGTGATATTCACATACTTCATTTTACTTCTCACATATCTTTTTAATTTCCGGCATTCGGATTGTATGAATTGAAGAAGATCAACGAACAAAAAATATCAAATGGTGTGTGATAAGTAAAATAGGATGTGTAAATAGCACATTCCTAAATAAATTAGTTGAGTTCAACAACCAAAAAAAAAAGTGAATTATATATGAGATATCAATCGATTTCTCTTCCAAATTTGTAAGGAGCTATTATTTATCTTATAAACTTTAATTTTAGCCAATTACCTCTTGAACGTAGCCAATTACCTCTTGAACGTTTATAATCGGCGAATTTCCACCTGAATTTTAATTTTAAACGATTACACTCTTAATTTTCATAATTAGTCAATTCCTTCCATAAAGTTTAATTTTATTCCTAATGTGGACAACATCACAACAGTGTTTTTCTCTCTTCTGCCAATTTATTCTATACACTTTTTGTTTGAATTTTAGGGTTTATGAGAAATTAAAGTTCAGGAAGAAAATTGATCACTAAAATAGTTCATAGAAGTGATCGGTTAAAATTAAAATTCAAAGGGAAAATTGATGTTGCCGTTTATAAAAATTCAAAAAGTAATCGACTAAAATAAAAGTTTACGGAGAAATTTGCAGCTCTTGACAAATCTAAAGAAAAAATCGACAAATACCTCATTTACACATCATCCTCTGTCTATAATCTCAACTTATTTTGGGCATTACAAGCAGATTATAAATAGAAGAATATCATGAAGAACATAACATTAAGGTTTCCGACACGAAGATTAACTTAAAATCGTAATTAATCGAATTCTAGTTTCAAACGAAAAGCTAACCTAATTTACGAAATCAAGAGTTCAACGAGCTTTTCTGAATAAGTAATCCACTATTGTTCAGGAATGTTTCCATACAACATTTTGTTCATAACAATACAAATCTACAAATTTCTTAAGAAAAGCTTCCTTCGAATAGTACAACATAAATGCGCTTCTAATCCCGTCATCGACTCAACTAAGTTGCATATTCTGATTTAAGTTAACATCAACCAATTGATACTACTCCCTTTATGGGACAAACATCAATCATCGATACAACAACAACAACAACCAAGCTTTATCCCATTAAGTGAGGTCGGCTGTATAAATCCTAAACATCAATAGTATATACCGATAATTTTCAAGCGGAAGGGGATGTCATCAACTCCGGTAAGAACCGCCATTTTAAAAACTACGACGGAATTCTCTTCAAGTATACAGTAGACAGTAACTAATGCCGTGAAAAGGTTAAATCAGTAGGGTTGGGAGTGGAGACAATTTTAGCACATCGGTAAACTGAGGTTTCATTCACTTACAGAGATGACAACGAAAACATCATCATGGGACCATTTCCTTCGCTCTGACTTCGGTGATGGATTAATTATGGCTCGCTCTGTGTTTACAAGACGATATCCAATCACAATCTCCTGCCTTTGACGACCCCTGAGCATAATATCGTAAAAGCTGAGTTCTTCCTGGTCATATAAATAGAGTTCTGCTGGTTTAATGCACATCTCATTTCCCTGTTCCAGCACAAAATAATTCAAAGCTTTAGTCATTTAGTTTTGAAGTTCAATCGCTAATTAAAACAGAAGCTTGTATCACCGATTTATAATTAAAAGTGCCGAAGACTATAGCTCATACGAAAATAAGTAAAGAAATATCCATGATCATATATAGTGTATATAATAAAAATTAAATAAATGAAGGGAGATACAATGGATACCACTATATTCATGATAGCTTCGATGCTAGATTTGTCCGAAATCAGTGTGTTTTTGAAATTGTAAGTGGTGAGGAGTGGAGGGAGACTGATTGAGGAATAACTTCTAAAAATACAGAGCAATTTATACTTGGGAAGTGGCACCGCTTCTACCGAAGCTAGCACAAATATTTCTGTCCTTACAAGCTCAGATTTCCATATGACAGAAACTTCATAAGAATTAGCATTGCGAAGTTGAAAATGATAGTGCCCTGGATGAGAGGTTATTTATATGATATAATTATAAACCATTTTATCACACATTTATATAAAATAAAAGCATGAAACAGGGCACCGAAAGTACCTCTTCAGCAAATAGCTCCTCAAGGACGCGATTAATTTGCTTGTCTTCAGCCACCATTGCCAGCGCCATACTAACCAGTTCATTTGATAGCACATAATCACTGATTCTAGAAACTGAGACCAAGTTTCTAGTCCTAGAATCCAGAATTTCACTAATTATGATCGACTTGTCAGAAGCTTGCTGCATTTCACGGATCCAAGAGCTGTGTGAAAATGCTGATAATCGCAAAGAAGTTGCCTTTGTATCTTTGTCAGGGAGACGCTTTGACTGCAATCCAAAAGTAAAGAGGTAGCTTATATTAGTAGTCTAGTCACAACTCCAGAAATTCACACTATGAAATTTGTGATTCTGCTTTGGATAGCCTTAGTGATATACAACAAGCAGAATAGTGAGAGACTTGAAATACGCACAAAGAGTAGAAGTGAAAATGGTGTAACATGAAGTGAACTAGTTTTATTATAAACACAACACAAAATTTACAAAACCGATTGAGTCCCAACATCTTCGATGATGTTGGATGGATGTATATCACTGATCACAGAGAGCACTATTACATGCCTGTGGTAGGATGAAGCGATTGAAGTTACCTGTATATCTCGTATGAGGAGAAGAGTGGCAAGTGATCTTGAGTCAGAATGAACAACAGAGTCCTCTAGTGATTCATCTGCAAGAATTAATATCTGTGCACTTAAAGAGTTAGCAAATCAGCTAAAGAATAAATTTTACACAAGAAAATTTCAAAGATACTCATTTATGTCAGCCGAAGTAGCTCCTTGGGCCATTTAATTAACTTTGAAGGCAGCTGTGTCTTAATTCCAGTTAAGATACTCAGTATTGTTTCTTTTCAGGTGAATTTCTGGTGCAGCCCCACCCTTTATACATTATTATTCTTAATAAAATGTGTGTTTCTTATTAAAAAAATCATGTAAAATAGTTAAAATAAGTTTGCATTGTGGCTCTGGGGAAAGAAGTTTTTCATGAAGCCCTTCATGTTAGATTACTAGGTTTAAGGGATAGAAGTTCCCAATAAATTTTAACAGTTAAGCCCCTTGGATATTCTGCTGGAAAGAAAAACTTAAACTAAAGAAAGGAAAAAAGATATACAGAAAAGGTAAACATACTCCTATCATAGAGAGAGAGAGAGAGAGAGAGAGAGAGAATCAAACTTACAGAATCAAAAGTCTCCAAAGGAAGATTCTCTAAATGTCGTTTGATCACAGCATTTCCTTCTCTGTGGACAAGCTTAATGTTCTCCAATCTAGAAACATCCAGTCCACCATCTGTAAGCTTCTTATCCCTTTCTTTTTCAGGAACTTCATTGAACATCCAAAGTTCTGAACCTGGAGGCAGGAATGCCTCTAGAACCTGAGAAACGGAAATTCAACAACACATCAAGTTGGAGCCCAATCTGAGTCATATGCTTCAACCCAACTTACTAGTTTAAAATTACCATTTCATTTTCACAATTGTTTCCCATTACTGTTCCATGACAAAAAAATTGGTAAAGGCAAAAGTAACTTTCTTAATCAAAAATTAGGAAGCAGTAGTCCACCAAAGGTACATCCAGTTAAGAGAGAGAGAGAGAGAGAGAGAGAGAGAGAGTATGTGATTGTTTTAGTCAGCCTGTCCAATCCAGCTAGGTTGTAGACTTGTAGATAATATTGATGACACAATATTAACTGATTACCATAATCATATCGTCTATATCCCGACGCCAGCCGCAAAACAATATCTTCTCGGGGTACTTGGGGGGTTCAACTGTCTTTGGACAGTAACCTGCACAAACCTGCACGAAGGACACAACATGTGCTCAGGCATGTTAGATGTAATCATTTCTGATTTGGCATACATCATAGGAAAATATAATGTTGATTGCATGCCCTAGACTTAACAGAATTCTATGTTAGATGTAATCATTTCTGATTTGGCATACATCATAGGAGTTACTTGAGTAACTGCTGGGGCATCCATACTTCACTATTCAAACAGAGAATGATATCTCATCCGCATAACAGTAACAGCAAAGTCAGAGAAATAGTTTTGCAACTTTCTAATCTTTAAAATATATTGTTGCTACATGAAGAAAAGATAGATAACCTCTGGAAAGGGACAAGGAGCATAAGTGTCATCATCTTCCGCTATAACAAGAACTTCATCCCCTTCTTTCATAACATAGTTATCATCCGGATTTAAGATTATCTTTCCACCATCTACAGCAACCTTAATTCCACAAGGAATTGCATCAGGAAATGAAATAAGCACATTTTCAAAACGAAGACCATCCAGTTGAGGCCACCTTTTGATGTAAAACTCAGCATTCTCAAAACCCAATATGTCCTCCCATATCTGACCAAAGAAAAAATGATATATTAGTAAAAAAAAAAAATATTTTCTAAAACAAATTCTGAAGCATGTATGGTTTTTAGTTTTGCAAAAGAGATACTTTACAATCTGATGTTTTGAATAATGCAAGACAGAGTTATCCTATATGTCCTGTGAATTTCACTTGAGATATTTGATGGATTACTCTTTTCTTTCTCCTTTCATCCCCTCAAGTGCAATAAGGTTCGTTAAAATAGTTTTAATTGATTAAGTTAACCCCATCACGTTCAAAATGATTTATATAACAAGAAAGGCTACAAACCTAGATGACTACACTAATACCCCCAGTCCAGCATAAGGCAACGCAGCAATTTCAACAACTCTAACAAGTTTAAATATAACTAAATACATAGTGTCAGCCTCAAGCTAGGGCTCGGGCCAGGTCATGTCGTTTCGTGGCCATAAAATGGGTCACATTGGCTGGCTCATCGGGCCTCTGTCCATTTTTCTAGCCCTATTCGCCCCAGTGACCTTTTTCTCCTAGGCTATACTCAAATAGGAATAGAAATACATTTATTGAACTCAGGAATATAAATAGAGAAGAAAAGATCTAGTCTCTATGTACATGTTTTAAGAAGTGTAGCTTATTATCCGATAAACATATAGGTGGACTAAAGCTCTATTAGAGTTACCTGTGCAAGACCAGGTTGCAGAGCACACTGTATCATCAACCGTCCAATCACATCATGTGCTACAACTGTTTCAATGAGTTCTCCTCCAACAAGCTTCACCAGAGGCTCATTGTCAAGGTCACTCATCTCTACGACAACATGACCCCTCAAGCCCTCTTTCACCCCTGTAAGGCTGAGCACAACCCTCAAAGCACGTGCATCACTCTGGAAACATATTACAGCCAATGTAACTAAAGTCTGAGTGCAAGTAAACATTTGAGAACTGTAAGAGGAGATCTGATATAGGAAATAACCTGATCTGCATTTTCATCAGATGCCAATACAATGATAGCACGTGCTTTTGAAACTGAGACCTGCATATGAAAAAATATAACTCAATCTGAAGATTCTGAACTGCATCCATATGAGAGAGAGAGAGAGAGAGAGAGAGAGAGAGAGAGAGAGAGAAAATTAATATTGAACCTTCCAATGAAACAAAAGCTAAATCAGTAGTAGTAGTAGGGGTAAAAGAGAAAAGTGTCAAAGATACCTTCTTCAGGTCGGCCAGTATAAGAGGGCTGCCACTTCTGCATATAACTGAAGTCCCCATGAAGTCAAATTCAAGCTTTGCTATATCCAGCTCCATTTCCTCCTTGTCTCTTTCAGCAAGTACAACGACAACTCCACCACCAACACTCTTGTTTGCTATTGCTAGCTGCTTTAGAAGTGAGCCCTGCAGCATAAAATGCATCAACTTTAATTTCCCCTTCTTTCTTTGCTGTTTGACTCCTTAACTACAAAACTCCTACTGATGACCTCTTTTATAAGATCAAATGAGCTTAATTTCATAGAGGATAAGGATGGGGAAGTTCAGGGGCCTTCAAAGATCACATTTTAATTGTAAGACAAACATGTACTTACAAAGAAGCTATCTGTTAAGTCCGTTAAAATAAAGTCCCTATTGACAACTATAATTACCCATACAGTAGTCTGTACTAACAACCAAAAGTACAAATCTAAAAACGCATTAAAGCAGCAAGATGGAGACGACACTTGAAGACTACCAACTATAGTCATGCAAACAGCTAAGTTCCTTTTTCCTTTTGGTCTGTGCAGAAAACTAAGTTGGTGTTCTCATATCAGTATAATTTTGAAGACATTTAAGTCAAAAGAAATCCCATAACATTTGAATCACATCACAAATCTGAAACCAAAGTTGATACCTCCAAAAGACAAAAGTTTAAAGGTAATGCAGGTTTGAGATATCACTTTGAAGTTCGAATGCAGCCCATGAAATTTAGATAAAGGTTGTATCCAATATAAAGATGCTCGAGAGCCTACCAATTTGTCACTCCATCCAAGAATGAGGATGTGGTCCCTTTCAATGACTTCACTCTTCCCTTTCCGCAGTGAATCAACCTTCTCTGATATAGCATCAGAAACAAGCCCAAGCATCATTGCAAATATTAGCATGCCTCCTGAACTAATAGAGACAGAAACTATCCTTGGCCCGATGCCTTCTGTGTCAGCATGGTTTCCAGAATCAGCAACAAAAGTCCATGAGAGCCAAAGAGCTTCAGCAAAGCTGTTTTGATTGACTGCGTATAATGCCAATCCACCAAACCCTATAAGAAACATCGTTGCAAAGAGAAGAGCAAGCAGCTTGGCGTATGGATAGACGGAGAAACACACATCAACCATATATGCAATCCTCTTCTTTATGGGAACCTCCTCGTTGTTCTTCTTGATCCGTTTTGAGAGACTCCTTATTTGGGAAAGAGAATCAAGATGTTTATACAATACAAATGGGATAGTAATTGTAAAGACCACAATATACAAAGCAACAGTTCTTCTTTCAGCACTAAAATGAAATAGTGATGGATTCTTCTCCACCAGAAAATCCTTAATGCTGTTATTTGAACCAATATTTTTAGGGTTACACCATTCCTGAAAGCAGCATAATCAACTGTTGAGATGCAAAACAAAGAATCAAAGGTCTACATAAAAGTTGTTGAAACCATAAAACGTACCTCAAGTTCTGCAACTCTCTGCCGGAGATAAAGTGCATAAGGTACAGATAATATCCAAGTGAAAGTGAGCTGCAACAGAAGTTAATACAAAATTGTCAATATCATAATTTCAACAATCCAAAAGGACACCACTAGGAGCTCTCTGTTTTATAAAGATCTATTACAAAGGAGCGCAAAATAATTAACATAATTTTCTGTTCTTTTTTGTTTTGTTTAATACACCAATATATTTACACAAAGGCGTGGAGGGATTTGAGCTAAGCCACACAATGGGCCAGCCATAATATTTTTTGGTATTGAACTCCCCATCTACGGCAACCAAACCTAAGACCTCTCAACAAGTGAAGAGGAATACCACTAGACTATAGTACAAGTAAACATAACCTAATTTTCTGTTTACTTCTTAAACTTCAGAAGATTTGCTCATATTTGACGCAGCTAAACAACTTGAAAGTGTGACGTAGACATAGGGAAACTGTTTCTCCCCTTAGAAAAACCAAGTGTGTTTGCATTTTCAGTTATCTCAATGGAGAAACTGCTGCCTGAACAACAGATGAAACGAAGCATACAACCGCAGCAAGCACACAGACAAATATTCTAGAAATAAAAGATCAAGAATGTTTTATTTAAATTATTAATAGAAAATGTGACGTGGAAATAGGGAAAGGTTGCTCCTATGCGACTGAAATGCCACGGGGAGTTGTGGAAACAGCCTCTCTGCAAAGCAAAGGTAGGATTGCGTACATAGTCGTTCCCTCGACTTTTGAGGGGAGGCTTGATGGCTTGGGTTCCCCCTTTTTTTATACAAAAATTTAAATGATTTTTAGATTTTAGTTTAATTTTCCAATAACAAAAAATCCCCAAATGAGTTGTCACATCCTGGTCCGAGCTCCCACCACATCCTGAACTCGACTCCACCATAGCACGATATTGTCCACTTTGGGCCCCGACCACGCCCTCACGGTTTTGTTTCTGGGAACTCACACGAGAACTTCCCAATGAGTCACCCATCATGGGAGTGCTCTCGCGCGCTACTTGCTTAACTTTGGAGTTCCCATGAAACCCGAAGCCAATGAGCTTCCAAAAGTTCTCGTGCTAGGTAGGGATGAGAATATACATATAACGATCACTCTCCTGAGTGATGTGGGATCTAACAATCCATCCCCCTTAGGGGCCCAACGTCCTCGTCAGCACACACGCGATCAGGGTTAGGCTCTAATACAAAACTGACACACCCCGAACAAAAATTTGGAGCGTGCTGGCCTCCACGTCTCTGACAAAACAGAGCTCCTGAACCACCAGAACCGCCAACATCTCGCTGACTTTGAAAACGTGAGCCTCCGGCAAACCTACCACCTCTACGTTGGCTCGTAGAACTCATGCCTTCACTGGACGAACTAGAGCTAGCCCCGCTTCTTTTAAAACTCTGACTCTTCCGAAGTCTCTGAGATGCTTGACCTTTACCTCTGTCGTCTTTCTTTTGATTGCCATCCTTCTCTTCTTCTTCACTTTCACTAGGCATATTCTCAGAATTCTCAATCCTTAACAAAATCTCGTAGAACTCCTGATAAGTATCACAAGGAGTAGTAGTCGCCATAGAACGCCACTTCTTCTTAGTACCCAATCTAAACAAGTAGTCAATTTCAATCTTTATTCTCATTATTTTTTCTTAATTCTATTCACCAGGGTGTCTAAAAGGAACATTTACTAAAATCTAGGGGCATAGAAAAATAGCTTTGACCTAGAATATTTGTTTGATCTTTATTTCCTAAAATCTAGGGGAGGAATCTATAAATTTGGAAAGTAGTATCAGAAAATTAAGTAGTTGAGCTGAGAATTTACTGACAGTTTTGGAGTAAAATGGCTTTACCACAACTAGTAACAAAGAACGCTTGAACTCCGCAGTCCGCCTCGAACTCGGCCGAGTCGACTCACTAGCAGAAGAGGCAGAAGTTAGATTCGGCACCACCTTCAATTTCTGCCTCTCAGCCTCCGGCTTCGGGACCAAGGCCGCAGGAGGAGGCTGAGAGGCGATCCGTCGCGGCGCGTCCACCAGCTTATTAGCATGCGCGGCACGGGAATCAGAGGAGGAGGAGGGGAGCTTCTTGCCGCGTTTGGAAGTGTTCTGAGGGACAACGAAGGAAGGGAAGACCCAATCGCGGTCGGAGAAGTCTCGGTGGTCGGCGGGCGCATTGAAGGAGGAGGAGGAGGAGAAGGAGGCGGGGCGATCGGGCGGCGGCCACTGGCGGGAGGTGGGAGGGAGGGTGGAGGTGCGTCGGACGGCGGGGAAGAGCGGGCCCGGGAAGATTGGGGTTGTGGGCTCCGCGTCGTCGGATGCGGTGGTGGTGATGACGGTTCGTGATTTCTTGAGCTGCGGAGGACTCTCCGACTTTTTCGGCTTCGACGACGGGTCATCATTGCCATCCACCATTTTTCTCCTTCAGTTTCAGAATTGCAGCGACGGAATTGTGCTGGTGATGTGATTAGCGAGACCTCAACTTGGAATCGTCCGCGTCAGAATTTAATTTAACAATATTTTCAAAAATAATAAAATATTTAATTTTACTGAGCCAGAGTAGCATGAGAATGGGCCACCTCCTAAAAAGTTCTCGTGTTACATTCCCAAAAGAATTCACCCAAAAACAAAACTAGTTTGATTATACTCTAACTTTTAACTTGATTTTATTCATCGATATTTCAACAGTGTTTTGGGGAAGTTCTTCATTTAACGCGGTACCATGGTTGTACGACGAGATAAGGAAAGAGTGTCGAAAGAAAGCTTCGCGACAACATAGGCGGAGCCTCTAAGGACCAAAGTAGTTTCGGGGCAATCTTGACCACTACGTACCAAATTTATGGCGGCCTCAAAGCTAAAGTTGAAGAATCGTGAGACCTGACGAAGAAAATGAACTGTCTTCACGAAAAAGTTGGGTCGACGTCATGTCATATTTTTTGTAACAATCTTATTTGTTTTGTTTTTGTGATTTGGTGAAACTCGGGATGAGATTTTAAAATCGAGTTTAATGTTATTTATAAAGCAACTTAATCAACCATTATTTGTAGCCCTTCTCTTTGTTCTCTTTTTATTGTCCAACGATTCAAACCAGATTCTTTGTACTTTCTTCATATAATTTCAAACTTTTTACTAGTTACCTGTCCCTACCTCCCACTTAGTTGCATTATACAATTCTTTTGATTCCCTCTATTAAACTTATCCCAACAACTTGGACGGTTGGATTAAAACCTAAATTTTAATCCAGAAAATTTAGGTTTTATTGATTTAACCCAAACACAGTTTTTTCTCTCTAACTATTCACTTTTCGGTAAAGAAATACCTTCGTAAGAGTTTTGCAGAAATGAACTTAGGCACTACAACTCCTGAATACCCGCAACGACGAGGTAACAACGGTGGCTTCGGAAAATGTCAACAAAGAAACGCTGGGGAGTTCCGGCAGCATTGAATTTTGGTACATTCAAAACCTACTCATGTTGTAACGTTAGTGTCGAACGAATTCAGACGGTTACAGTACAAGCCCGCAAGGGGGCGGAACCAAAACTTATGGCCGGCATGACTCTCGGCTAAAATACCATGAGACGTTAAAACGAAGATGAAGAGGAAAGAAATGACGAGTAATTTCACGAACTAGCTAGCACGGGTCATTTTTACTTTCGGCATTGCCTTCTTCATCTGACGAGCACGCTCTTTTGCTTCTCTCTTGCGAATACTATCTGCACTGAGCTTAGCCTCGGCCTCCTCCATCATCTTTTTCCGCTCTGCCTTCTTTCTTTGCAACGCTTCTTGCCTAGCATTTTGGAGTTCTTTGTAAGCCTCTTGAGCCGCCTTTGATCTGATTGCTTCGGTTTTGGATCGAACCTGCAACAATCAGATATAGAAAAAATAAGGCCAAATGGAAACTTTGTCGAAACTTGATTCCACAATATAACTGGAAGCTGACCCACCTGACTGCTTAGCTTGTAGCGCCCAATCAAATCAATATAATAAGGTACCAAAGCCACCAGTCGAGTCATATCAGCCATGTTACCGGCATCTGGTAGGGCAAACTTGAACAACAGCATCTTCTTTCGCGAGCCTGGATGTTGATCTGAAAAATGCATGTAGATGAAACCCTTTCCAAATTTCTGAAAAGCCTTTTCACCAAAAACCTGCAAATGCCAGACATATTAATGGGGAACTAAGCGTAAACAACTAATAAAAGGATGTACGGAATCAAGAAACAGGATGGATAATTCAGGCAGAATGGGACCTAAGAGGAATAATGTAAAAGGGCAGAAGCACGATGAAGTTGAAGTTCCGGTATGGTAACATAAGATTTTAAATATCCCAAGCAATTCGATCAAGTGATACATTGAACAGAAGAGAGAACTTACTATAAAAAGGACCAAAGAAACATGCAAGACCCCTTATTAACTCAAACAAATTTGAAGAAGAGCGAGACTTTGCTATGGCTACCATGATAGTGAAAACACAAGGGAAGTACCCAACATTAGAAGTAAAATTTAGATTAAAAATAAGAACGAGGTTTTACAAAACCATCAGGTCACAATGAAACAAGCACCCAGTTTGTGCCCCATTACACTGAAAGGTTGATTGAGATTTTTGAGTTCAGCCTACCTTTCATTTAATAATGTGTGAGAGTGATGCAAAAGTAATACAAATTTCTCAACCACCATAATCGATTCAGCGAAAAAAAAAAAAAAAAAAAAAAAAATTCGACCTTTATTAACATTAATTGCGCTATATATCCGTAAAAGATAAAACAATACCATCTATATATCTTCAGTGGTAGTTATGCACTCCCACATATAAACTACAAAATTTAGTACTAACACCTTTGTGGTAAAAAATGTATGCACGAACAGGAAAGCGTGTCTTAAGCGGGGTTTAATCAGTATTGGTCAAACAGATAAAGCCCAAACAGATGAAGAAAAAAGGTCGAAAACCCTTGGACAATTAAAAAAAAGCAATACCAAATTGATAATGTAATGTAATTCCACATTTACAGTACTAAATTACTGGTCCTTTCGCTCCTTTCGCCTAACAAATTGAGACTTGGAACCTCTGTTTGGCCATCCTCATGGAATCAAAACAACTGTTATGAAAAGCATAAGTTGTTTGCTTTTCACTTTTGCAGTTTATATGGTGTTCGGCATTATCATCACAGAAAAATAATCTTATTCTCAAGATGAATACGTGCATATACAGCCTATCTACCACTACATTCAAACACAAATTAAATTACACAATCAAACACATTGCATATGATCACGAAAATTACGAAACACTAGAAAGAAAACTCATTTCAAGTGCAAACTAATACATAAACACACAAACCAAATACCATTTAAATGCAATCATAAAACAGATTAATCAACGAAAAGGAAAACCGAATTTTGTACCAATACGAAAATGAACTGACCTGTTCGAGCACAGCCTCAGTGATCAAATCACCAGCCACTTCCTTCGATTCGGAGATAACCGCCAGGTCCTCAGAAACCCACTTCCTTCCGGTAGGCGGAGACACTATCCCGGCAAACTTCTGCAAGTCCCTAACCTCCTTCTGCATTGCCTTGGCCGACTTCTTCCTTGCCAAGGCGAAAACCACGTGGTCCATCGCATCATCGTTCATATAAACTTCGATATTGATCTCGTCCCTACTGGGGACCACCAAGTTGAAAATCGAGGAGATCAAATCGTGGCGGCTTTTGAGCTCCATCGTCGCCAGAAGCCCCTGGCAGCACCTCCGCCCACTCGCGTAGAACTTGAACACGTTCTGACCTTCCTTCAACAGCAAGGGTGAGTCGTCGCCGTCTCCGACGCCCAGAAGACTGAAGTTCTTCTCGAAAATCGAGTCTTTGGTGGCGAATTTCGCCGCCCAAGCCAGGGCAATGTTCTCGTTCACCCGCTTCCCGGTGAAGTAGTTGATGATGAAGACGATCAGGAACCCTCCGCACGCGATCTCCACAACAAAGGATCTCGGAGCGGCGGGGGGCTTGGGAGCGGCGGAGGGTTTGGGATCGGAATTGGAGGAGGGAGTGGCATTTTCGGTACTTGCAGGGTCGTCGAGGGGCGGTTTCTGCTGTGGTTGCTGGGGTTGGACGGGGAGGCCTTCGAACTCGTCTTCGTCCCAATAATCGAAGCTGGTGGAGGAAGGTTTGGGAAGATCGGTGGATGGAGAATCCGAATCGGGAATCGGGTTCGGATCCGTGTCGGGTACGGAGGGTTCAGGTGAGCGAGGTGGGTCGGGTTGGGAGGTAGTGGTGAGGGAAGGGCGGGTGCGAGTGGGAAGAGGGAGTGAGGAGTCGTCGGCGTCGGCGTCGGCGTCATCGATTTCGTCGCCATCGTCGAATCCTTCGAATTGCGAGTCGGCGGCGAGGACGGAGGAGGGAGAGAAGGACAGGTGGGAGAAGAGGAACAGGAGGATGAAGAGGGAGAGGAGAGAGAGGAGGCGCGTGTAAGAGAGTGACGCCATGCTTGCTTCTCCTGATACAGCTCTTGTTGCAGAGAGAGTACAGGAACGAAGGAAAGAAGCGTGTGTGTACTGAAAACCCCACACGCAACTGATCTCAGTGAATGTGGCAGTTGGATACAACGTTGTGACCAACTGGGCAATTTTCATTTCTTTTTTAATGGAAGAAGAAACCTAATTGTGATTTCACTACGACATTCTATTTTTTCAAAGATCATAAGTTTATTTCTGGCCACTATTTACCATTCTTTAGCATCAAAAATCGAAATCAAACGTGACGTGTGAAATACGATTTGTCCCAACCATTGAGTTACCATGTGATGGTTGTGATCAGATGAGTAATTGTCCTTTCCTTTTTTTCTCTTAATTTATTTATTTATTATTAACCAGAAACACATTACTTTTCTAATCCACCAACGTTACCAACGTTGTCGTTTGTAAACCTAAATAAAAATTAAAGTTGGAAAATTATTTAATCAAATGCATAATCATGATTTCAGTTATTACCTAAAGAATTGTCTATTTATCATCGTATTAGCTCTTTGGTAAATATGGTTCATGGTATGATTATTACGTTAGCAAGTAGTATGACTATTTTAAATTCTGATTAGGATACTTGAAGCAGCATTTCTGACACATTTTGTTTCTAACAACTCAAACGAAAACTTCCTAATGGGTCATCTATCCTGGAATTGCTCTCGCGCGAACTCGCTTAACTTCGGAGTTCCGATAGAACCCAAAGTCAGTGAGCTTCCAAAAGGTATCGTGCTAGGTAGAGATGAAAATATACATATAAAGTTTAAAGAATCTACTTCCTGAGCGATGTGGATGTTACAATCCACGAAGACAAAGTTACTAGATCAGAACAAATTTCAATAAGTAGTTATGGTGTCCTCATCCACCCTATTTTGTCTTAACCTTGAAACAGACTCTCACTCTGTCAAATTTTGAAGTGCAAGCAAAGAAAGCCCATGCCAACCAAACCCTACCCAATCATCATGAAATATATCTTCATGTCCTCGATTCCCTACACACCATTTTCCATCAGGACATATCCATGGAATCGGAAACCCAGCACTCCCCGCAGCTTCCTCAAGAAAACCCAGCGGGAGGAGCAGCTGCCCTAACCCCAATCCATGTTAACGATCACCACGCCAATGTCGACACTTCCCGACCCTTCAACTCCGTCAAAGAAGCCGTCGCCATCTTGGGCGAGCGCCTTCTTCTCAGAGAAATGTTTTCATCCCCTAAACCGCCATGCACCAATAATATTGTCCAAAGCAGCCCTACTACTCCTCCGTCACGGAACTTGTCGCCGCCGAATTATGAAGAAAGCGAAGACGTAAAAAATAGTAGTGATGGTGATCGCGAGGAGAAAGTAGCAGTTATGGACACTCTAAAGAAGCTTGAGGCGGAGCTGGAAGAAACGAAGGTGGAGCTGAAGATGCTGAAGGAGAGAGAGTCGGAAACAGAGGTCGCGTTGGCGTCGCTGAACGCGGAGCTTCACAAGAACATGTCCAAGTTGGCTCGAGCAGAGGCAGCTGCGGCGGCAAAGGCGAGTAACGTGCTGCAAGTGGCTACAACTACAAGATCATCACCAAATCTGAGAGAGAATGTTGAAGAGAGGAACAAGAGGGAGTGGATGATAAGAATGGAGGACTCTACGTCTTTGGCTCAAATATTGGGCATTGGAACTACTAAGAAACAAGGAGGAGCCGACTACGACCCTATCGGAGCCGACTACGACCACTTCGGAGGGAAAAGAGAGAAGAAACCAATGAAGAAGAAGCCTATTGTCCCTCTGGTGCAAGATTTACTTTGCTGGAGAAAAGGGTCGTCCACTGCTTTTCGTAACCCTCTTTATTCGTCTCCGCAATTTTACTACTAAATCTTGATTTAAATCGTGTTTAATTTCTTCGATGTATCATCAATCCAAAAGGGGAAGAAAAATACTTGCATGGGGAATAGATATGCTATCATGTAATATGTTGTATTGAAATTGCCAATGTTTGTTTGATATTGTTTTCAAATTTATATGTGATATAATTAAGCAGTATTTGTTAATTATGTTCTCGTTTCTAAGTTTGATTTTCGCCAAATACGAATTTGAAACACATTGTTGCTAGTCCATTGCGAGGTTAAGGCCATCATCTTTCCCTTAATGTAGTAATATCGTTTGTTAAAAATAAAAATAAAAAAGTTAAACATTCACATTTGAAACTGAGCTTTGATACATCGGAGACCAAGGCATGTTTGGATATGCTTTTAAAATTACTGAAAACTCTTTTAGATAAAATATTTTAGGGTTTCAAAAGCACTTAAAGTGTTTTCTACAAGAAGCACCATTTATGTGCTTCTTCCAGGAAGCACTTTAAGTGTTTTCCCAGGATTTACTTGCATATTTACTAATGATTGGTTCTAAAAACATTTTCACCAAAAACGCTTTCAGTTATTTAAAAAACACATCCAAACAAGCTCCAAATTCATTTGAAAAGAAGGGTTCATTTGTTTGAAGTCCAAGGATTTAGAGATTTGGGCCATTGAAGAAAGGGAAAGAGAGATCCGGACTTTTGGTTTGTGTAACGTGAACCAACGAAGACATCGCAAAAATTAAAGTAAGTGATATGAACCCTTGGTTTGTGTTAGGCGTCACTGTGGTTCTAAGAGCATATCCAAATGAGATGTCAAAAGGTCTACATTAGCAATAACAGTAATAAAAGACATCACTAGTGTTTTCCAACCCAAATGACAATTCCTATGTGGCATGACATGAAAAGGCAACAAAGGAAGTTGCTGTCAAATTTGACAATAGCTTCAAATCTATTTTTAGTAATTAATAAATACATTTTATAATTTTAATAGTTATCTTTTGTTTTAAAATACTAATTACAACTATAAAAAGTAAATAATGTAATAAATAATAGTTTAAATTTGACATATCGATTGAAGAACAAAATTTATAAAAAGATCAATGTGCGACATAAGCCTTTAAATTTAAATTTTATGTTTAAAATTTGACATCTCATTTGGAGATGGTCTAAGTGGAATTAATTTCTTTTAATTTTTTATCATCCACATGGGACCACAGTGACACGTAGTGCCTAGTCATTGTTCACATGTGTGCTAGGTCACGAGTTAATAGAGATTTGGAAAGTCTAACATGTGTGCTAGGTCACTTTAGATATAAAACTCATATAAAAAAATGGGAATTGTTATTGGTGCGTCAAAAATCTCATTTTACATTCTAAACTTTATATATTTGGAAAAAAAAATACGCTTGTAATAAATGTAAAATAAGATTTTTAAAATGTTAATAACACTTCTAAAATACATTTACATATAAAAATTTGATAAACGCGATATTTCATGCGGTAAAATGAGAATTACCTTTAAAATCATACTTGGCCAACAACCAAAAAAAAAAAAAAGAAAAGAAAAAAAGAAAATGAACACGTCTGTCACGTGGCAGCATACCATGAAACTTAGCAAAGTGTTTTGGAGCGGTCAATTTTTCGGGAGAACAGATGGCAGTAGGCTGGTAGCACTTGTTATCTTTCTCATCACCGTTGATTAAATTACTCGTGATTTTCTACGGATGGGATCGAAACAAATTTCCTAGTTTTCCATTTTACCCCTGAGACAGAAATAAAACAAAAGGAAACTCACCGGCGGTCCTTCGAGCTTCTTTTCCTACGACGTACCTGTTTGGTTCCTGAGAAAATCCAAAAAGAAAGGAAAAGAAAAGAAGAACAGAGAAGAAATCACGGCGGTATCTTTTATTCGAGATGAGAGCGATGCTTCTCAATTCGCCGCCGTACTGCAGACTCCAACAACCACTTTCCACGGTCTTCCTCGATTTCCCTTCACTTCCGGAAACAAATCAATTCAATTGCTTCTTCTATTTTTTTCTTTTAATTTCTGACTTTTCACTTTTAATTTTCCTGCAGAGTTGTAGTTTATTGTTTGGAGGTTCAGGCTGCTGTGTATCTTTCAGTAGGGGGCGTAATCTGGTGCGGCCTAGCTCACGGGTTCGGTTACCTTCACCTTCAAGCAGCCTAGGTCAGTTTCTTTTTTATTTCGAAATCTATCATTTTTATGCATTACATATATATCTGTATATGTGTTTGTAATCAATCAATTAATGTTTGGTTGATTTGTTATACTAATATTATGTTGGAAATGTGCCCTAAAACCAATCATATGATGATACTTTACGGACATTTCAAACTAATGTAGTTCATTTCAAACTAATGTAGTTTAAATGTAAAGGGCAAAGATTATTGTTTGAGCCGTCTAATATAAATGTTATATGCTTAAACGATAAGTCCAAGGAATATGTGATTGGAAGAATGCGATCTAAAGAAGTTAGATTCATGAGACCATTCTTTCGTTGACACATCCTAAACGTTCCTGATCATAGGATTGTCAATTGGGCATTGACAGTCCGTTAAGATCAGTACGTGCTATGTCTTCTCTCAGGGAGAGGGACTAGTCTCGAGTCATTGGTGTGTGTGACATCAAGACAAGTACGTAGGTGCTCAATAGAGAATGAGTTCACTGAACACGATCAACGAAGAGTTCTCATATTCATGTCACATGAGAACTCATGGTTGGGATAATGCAAATTAGTCTTTTGACCTGAGGCATCACAGTTGTCTTGTGGTTAGGTCCTTAATCTTTGATTATTTCAAAGTCACTCTATCAGGGTGTCCACGGCATCGTTGGGGTTAAGCCACTTAGCCATGAAGGCAAGTGAATGCGCAACAAGGGATCTCTAACCTTCAAACTGTTTGAGGGAGAATACTCTATGATATGATTTAGAATCTCTGGCCAGAGTATGAATGAGATGTTGGAATGCATTCCAGATCACATTCAAGGTAATCATATAAGTACAAGATTCACATTGGATAGTAGACATGAATAAACTATCAAACCAAACAATGTGGTCAAGAGTATTGTATTAGAGAAAGACCGTATTGCATTTGTAATCCTAAACTGAATAGGTTCTCCACCTCTTCTGATTAGCTTGGGTAACCATGATATGCTGCTAGGTGTCACTCATGGTTTGTGGAAGCCCTAAAAGTGTATTATCACTAACGGGAGAATTGAAAGTAAGTTTCAATTCACAATCGATTTGAAAGAGTTTGAATCGCCCACTGCCTCGCTAAAAGGAACCTAATGGATCGTACACCGTGTAAGGTAGAGATTGAAGATTCAACGGAGATGAGTAAGAATAATTAAATGGTTTAATTATTTATCTAAGGCTAGGATTAATTAATATGTTAATTAATCAAACGAATAAGTTCGTTAAAAGACCTCGGGTTAGTTTTGGGCCGCAAGGTCCAATGGGATTTGAATGTCAAGCCCATTAACTCAAGTTGTATGACAACTTGAATAAAACAAAGGGCTTGAAAGCCCAATAAACCTATAGGCTAGCCATGTGTAAAAGAATAGGGCTTTTGGTCCATTAGGTCACTTATTTGAAGGGACTATATAAAGGACTTTATAGCCTAAAATTTACTAAGGGTTATTTTTGGGGAAAGGATGAGAACACAAGCTCTCCTTTCTTTCAAAAATTTTGGCCAATCTAGAGGGGAATAGCTAGCAATCTTACTTCCTCTAGGTCACTCATTTCTTCTACAATATACCTTGGTGTGGAGACTTAGAGGTTCTCAATTTTGGGAACTTGGAGAAACCTTTTCATCCACCCAAATCCATGGATCCAAGATGCAAGGAATGAAGGCCCTCTCTTTAGGTGATTAGCCTTTGCTTATGCAAAGAGGAATCTACAAAGGTATTGATTTCTCAACTCACTTTGTTTTGAGTTGAGTCTTGGTTCACCTATCTACTAGGCTTTGAATTTCATGGGTAAATGTTTTGTTTTAAGTGCATACAAGCATGATTCCGCCTTTAATTGTTAATTGCATGCTATTGATGTTGCTTAAATGAACATGTTTTTCACAAATTTTCCTTCAAGTGGTATCAAGAGCCTAAGTCTAGTAGTTGGTGAATCCTTTTGGGTTTTGTAGTTCATAGTTTGTGATTTGAATGTTGTAATTGTTACAAGCTTTATTCTTGCTTCTTTGAATGTAAATTTTGTTAGAAAATTTGCCATCTCAAATGTTGTAGATGTAGTTCATATGAGCATGAATTTTGGAGCTAAAATTTGGTGCCATGTTTTTTGGGAAATTCGGCCAAATCCAAAGGGTGGAATTTTGGGTTCTTGTTTGACTTGTTAAAAGTGTTTTAAAGTGACTTTTGGAACCCCTATGTACCCTAGTATGGTTGTATGTTATTTCCCTTAAGTTTGAGTGGTTTTGGTATGTTTTTGGGTGAAGAATGTTCATGGAGCTCTTATGGGTTTTCATGAATGTTCTTCATTGTTCTTGATATGTTCTTGCCAAGAACAAAAGGTTTGGTGTTTTGATTCAAAGTTTTGATTTATTTCATAAAGTTTTTGTTTTGAAATATTTCTTATGTTTAAATATATTAGATATTTATTTTGAAAAATTAAAGAAATTATAGTGGGTTTGGTGTGTAATGATTTATTCCATTACACACACCCCACTTACAAAAACTTTGAAATTTTTTTTATATACTTTGCTTCAAAATCAGCCACCCTACTCAATTAGGGTCCTTGTGGGGCTTTCATGCAATTATATAAAGTTTTGATACTTTTGTGTATTTGCATTTTAACCCAAAAGTTTACGTTTTTACGTAAAGGTCCAAAATCACTAAAAGGACAAATTGTTTTGCTCCTTTAATGAAGTTTTATTTTTTGTGGAAAATTTTGGGTTCTAGTTGTAATTACATGAAGTAGTGGACTTTTGTGTTTTTACAAAGTGACCCCAAAAGTTTAAGTTTTTGCAAAATAGCCCAAAAGTTGAGGTTAATTGCACTATGGCCCAAACAAGTTGAGGTCATAGCATTTTGGCCCAAATTAGGTAGAGAACAAAATTGTTTTGTCTCTTTAAATGAGAATTGGATTTTCATTTCATTTAGCTCCATTTAAATCAATTCTATGGATACAAAAACCAAATGAAAATGTTGCATTCAAGTTTAATTAGTTAAAGCGTTAATTAATTAAAGAAAGGGTGATTATGAACCTTAGCCTACGATAATTGAGCTATGTGAAAGGCCTTTTCAAATTTGTTTGAACCATGGGAATGTGTAGATTAAATTTTGGTTGTAATTTGATATGATCAATTGTTGTAAAAGAGCATAAGCTCTTCTTTACTTTAAAGTAATTTGATTTGATCAATTGTTGTAAAAGAGCATAAGCTCTTATTTACTTTGAAGTACTCCTTTCTTGTTTTATTCGATATGCATGAAATTGGAGTAGTTGGGTCCAACGCCCAATAAGACAACACGCCTTAATGTGATTAAACGCGTAACTAAAATCAATCTCCATCCCTAGACCGAGATTCAACACTAGGCTCGTGTTTGAATCGAATCAAAGGTTCATAGTCATCCTAAGGCCCTAAGGCAACTATATAGTCCATCAATGAATGCAAACCTTATGTTAGTAGTATCATATACTCTTGCTTTAAAAACCATTTTAAAAGCTTAGTGGGAGTATTATATACAACTAAATCAATCAAATGGACCAATAGTTGTAATAGGACCAAAATGTTTTAATTGGATTAAAATGTATGTTTATATGTGATGAGACCTAAAAACCCTCAACCAAATCAATATTAAGTTGATAAGCGAGAGATGCTTTGAATATCTCTTCGTGGCCTTCCACCGTGGTAGGCTCCAATCGTTTGTGACTTGTACACCGGCTTCACCCTATCATGGGGGAGTACAAAGTGCATGCTTACATTCAGGAGGAGTCTATACGCATATGATGAGGTGAGTGTAGGCAACGAGGATAGCCAACATCGTATCATCGTGAGGTTATTCTTGAACCCCTACACGAACTAAGCATGGTGGGAATAACTTAACTAAGTGCAATAGTGCCAACATCGTATCATCGTGAGGCAACATTCTCTAGAGGCCAAACAAGATGGGTAATTACAAACGTTGTAAATGAGTAAAGCGTTATTCTCTCATCATTATTTTTGCTAACCAACATCGTATCATCGTGAGGTGGGCTTGGTAATGGTGAGCCTCCCATACCCTACTAAGAGTTTCCTCCAAAACTCTCGAATTCCGATGAGGGATATGGAATTTGCCAAAAATAGTGGGTGGTGCTATTTGATTTAAAGACCCGAATCAAATGGCTTAAAATCAATCAATTTATATTCGTTATGTATTTGTTTACCAATATATTTGCAAACGCTATCCAAAACTTGACAAAGAAAAACCGAACGCTTTAGTTTCCGAACTTGGTATCACAATCCCATAGATTGTCTTGAATGGATTGTAAAAGTACCTAAGTAGTCTCATCCTCACAATCTTCCTATTGATAATGTATCAATGGAAGAACATGTTAGATAAGTCTACCATGAAGAGGACAATGCAAACTCTAGTGCTTGTCTCTTTGTTACACGAACAAGGAACTTGAGAAGTAAGCACAAGGGCATGGACACTTTATGTGCCATGATTCTTCACTTACAAATTGTTGTATGAAGAAATGAGAGTTGCCTTGAACAACTCTTGAAAGTTTGTTATTATGTTTAGAACATAATGGTTGGTTGACAAAAATAGTCCATTTATATGGACTTATGATGATTTTGAATCATTGAGTGTTGAAGTGTTAAACCACTTAACGAGACGGAAACTAGGCAAGGACTTCACCTTTGTGTCCCTATCCTAATGGTTCACTAAGTTTATTGTAAACTATATAGTGAACAATAACCGCACGCTCTCCAAATCGTTTGATGTGTATAACACATTTGAAATAAGTTTCAAGAGAGATAGTGGAAGTTTAGGGACCATGACTATTGTAGTCAAAAGGGAAGTCAAATGAAGAAGGCAAAATAACTCCAAGGGAACAAACTTTCTTTATGAAAGGATGGACATTGGAAGGGGTATTTGCAAGAAATGTCTTGCAAGTGTCGAGAACACACTTTTCGAAGGTGTTGTAATATGTTCTTGAAATAGTTCAAAATAGTTGGTTCTTCTACTTGAATGCATGATTCCGTATTAGTAACTATGTTTTACAATTGTTGTAAAAGTGTGCTAATAAAAAGTAGAAGATTAATGAGAGAAGAGAAAGTACTTCACATTCGGAAAGTGAATAAAATATAGATCTCTGCGAAAGCGGATTGTACTTACTTCCTCATATGAACTACCAAAGAAATTGGAAAATACTAAAGATTGTCTTTACATTCCAATTTTAAGGAACTTAAATCCATCACTATAGTAGAGATGGATAAATGTTTTGTTTGACAAAAACATTGTTCTTTATTAATCAATAATTAGATTATTGTAATTTAATTGGTTGTCTCTATAGTAGAGATGATGTGGTAGTTTAACTGTTTAGAATACGATGATGCTTAAAACCCAAAAGGTTGCAAGGTAGTGACTAAACCCAACTGAGTTGTGATACCTCTAAAACATAAGTTACGAGTTGGTCATAGATGGATGCTTTGGATCGTTAGATCCGGATCCAATACCTTCTTGTTAAAATTGTATAGAGGCGAAATGTTCGAATCTTTATTTTTTTTTTTTTGGAAAGAAGAAAGAATCACAAAGTTGTTAAGGTTGATTCACTTAGATGTTAGTGGCACTTGTCCACAACATAATACTACTCATGTTGTATGACATTCACCGAAGATCACTCTCGGTTGGACTATAGTTTATTTTGAATAAACACAAGTCCGAATACTTTGCAAAAGGTTTCAAAGAATTCAAGAAATGTAAGTAGATGAGTAAGACGTCTAAAGTATTTACCTCCTTAGATTTGATCCAAGGAAAAAGTAACACTTTAGATTAATTTTCTTGAAAAATATCAAGGAAAGTAGCATCGTAAGATAATGTATTTTTCCATTAGGAGAAGAATGAACATAAATAAGATTTAGTTCGTTGGACATTATCAATTACCCATATATATATATGATATATACTTCTAAGACATGTTAGTTGTAAGAAGATCCATCCATCATGGATCTTAGCAAGCTAGTGGGAGCTATAAGCGTCTTATGAGAAAAGATCAATTGTTTGATTTCTCATAAAGATGTAAATGAATCTTTTGTTTACTAGGTTTACAAAAGATTAGTGGGAGTTGATCATATTCCTAAATTAGAATATATATACATGATATATATTAATTTTGAAAATGAAAGGAATTCTTCATCGTTAAAGTTATGACTTTAAACATTCTATAATGATAGAATGTATATGGGAGACATAGTCTATATACATGAGATGGAAATCTATAATGATAGATTTCAAGATATAATTGGATTATATCAATCCCTAAAATAGACAAGAGATGCTAGGAAGTTTCTCATATGATGATAAACTTCAATTAGAATGACAATTCTAGTGAGACTAGGAAGTTGTTCTTCTCAAAGGGAATGTACCCTTTGACTCCCAAAGAAATAATGCGTAAATAGAATCCTTTATGCATACGCAGAAAGGTGATTTATGTATTTCATATTGTATGAAAACATTGATATAAGTCGTACCTAGAACGGTACAAGATGATATCAGTGCAAGCCCAGGATCAGAACCATGGCAACTGTCAAGTGAATCCTTAGGTATTTAAGAAATACTAAGGATGGATTCCTCAAGAATGAAAAAGAATTAGAGTAACGTAATGAAAGCGTAAATGTATTAGATTATGAATCTAATCCATCATAGAATATCTCTTCATTATGAATGAAGTGATAAAGAGATATCTCTTTATTATGACTAAAGAGATATTTGGGTGGAAACGTTAAAAGTAAATGACTTTAATGTGTTCCATCATGTATGCAAAATATATTGCCATATAGAAGCTTACAACATTGTTGTTTGGATGGGAAAGTTCATTCATGAACTCTTCATTCGGTTCCAACCAGAAAGTGTATGACACTAATGGGGCGATAGCTCAAGCCAGGGAATCAAGGTCTCATCAAGGTCCGAACTCAAATGAGAGACTGAACCACATGATTGAGAATCATGTATAATGGTGACGTCGTTATTCTCAAGGTTGCTTCTATGGATAACATATAGATATCCATTGTTTAGGCCTACTACTCAGCCATTTATGAAATAAATTACAGAAGAGGTATCATCAATGATGACTAAGCTGATTGGCTCTAGTGCAAGTGGGAGATTGTTGGAAATGTGCCCTAAAACCAATCATATGATGATACTTTACGGACATTTCAAACTAATGTAGTTCATTTCAAACTAATGTAGTTTAAATGTAAAGGGCAAAGATTATTGTTTGAGCCGTCTAATATAAATGTTATATGCTTAAACGATAAGTCCAAGGAATATGTGATTGGAAGAATGCGATCTAAAGAAGTTAGATTCATGAGACCATTCTTTCGTTGACACATCCTAAACGTTCCTGATCATAGGATTGTCAATTGGGCATTGACAGTCCGTTAAGATCAGTACGTGCTATGTCTTCTCTCAGGGAGAGGGACTAGTCTCGAGTCATTGGTGTGTGTGACATCAAGACAAGTACGTAGGTGCTCAATAGAGAATGAGTTCACTGAACACGATCAACGAAGAGTTCTCATATTCATGTCACATGAGAACTCATGGTTGGGATAATGCAAATTAGTCTTTTGACCTGAGGCATCACAGTTGTCTTGTGGTTAGGTCCTTAATCTTTGATTATTTCAAAGTCACTCTATCAGGGTGTCCACGGCATCGTTGGGGTTAAGCCACTTAGCCATGAAGGCAAGTGAATGCGCAACAAGGGATCTCTAACCTTCAAACTGTTTGAGGGAGAATACTCTATGATATGATTTAGAATCTCTGGTCAGAGTATGAATGAGATGTTGGAATGCATTCCAGATCACATTCAAGGTAATCATATAAGTACAAGATTCACATTGGATAGTAGACATGAATAAACTATCAAACCAAACAATGTGGTCAAGAGTATTGTATTAGAGAAAGACCGTATTGCATTTGTAATCCTAAACTGAATAGGTTCTCCACCTCTTCTGATTAGCTTGGGTAACCATGATATGCTGCTAGGTGTCACTCATGGTTTGTGGAAGCCCTAAAAGTGTATTATCACTAACGGGAGAATTGAAAGTAAGTTTCAATTCACAATCGATTTGAAAGAGTTTGAATCGCCCACTGCCTCGCTAAAAGGAACCTAATGGATCGTACACCGTGTAAGGTAGAGATTGAAGATTCAACGGAGATGAGTAAGAATAATTAAATGGTTTAATTATTTATCTAAGGCTAGGATTAATTAATATGTTAATTAATCAAACGAATAAGTTCGTTAAAAGACCTCGGGTTAGTTTTGGGCCGCAAGGTCCAATGGGATTTGAATGTCAAGCCCATTAACTCAAGTTGTATGACAACTTGAATAAAACAAAGGGCTTGAAAGCCCAATAAACCTATAGGCTAGCCATGTGTAAAAGAATAGGGCTTTTGGTCCATTAGGTCACTTATTTGAAGGGACTATATAAAGGACTTTATAGCCTAAAATTTACTAAGGGTTATTTTTGGGGAAAGGATGAGAACACAAGCTCTCCTTTCTTTCAAAAATTTTGGCCAATCTAGAGGGGAATAGCTAGCAATCTTACTTCCTCTAGGTCACTCATTTCTTCTACAATATACCTTGGTGTGGAGACTTAGAGGTTCTCAATTTTGGGAACTTGGAGAAACCTTTTCATCCACCCAAATCCATGGATCCAAGATGCAAGGAATGAATGCCCTCTCTTTAGGTGATTAGCCTTTGCTTATGCAAAGAGGAATCTACAAAGGTATTGATTTCTCAACTCACTTTGTTTTGAGTTGAGTCTTGGTTCACCTATCTACTAGGCTTTGAATTTCATGGGTAAATGTTTTGTTTTAAGTGCATACAAGCATGATTCCGCCTTTAATTGTTAATTGCATGCTATTGATGTTGCTTAAATGAACATGTTTTTCACAAATTTTCCTTCATATTAGGGCTTCTGCTTTTAAAATGACTACTTTTAGAACCAATTTTTAATAAAAATGCAAGTGAATTCTGAAAAACACTTGGAGTGCTTCTTGGAAAAAGCGTATAACTAGTGTTTTTTTTTTGTAGAAAACACTTTTAAGTGCTTTTGAAACCTAAAAAACAATTTCACCAAAAGCGCTTTCAACCATTTTTTAAAGCACTTCCAAACGAGCTTTTAATTATTTCTTTTTCAGCTTTTCCCGGCTGTTCTATTTTGCTATAATGTTTGATTGAACTCAATTAACTACGCACGTTGGACTGAATCAACTGTAGAATTCAACATTGATATACTACGCACTTTTTGATGACAATATATTATGATTTGGTAATTCTGTGTACCTTGTGGAACTTGCAACATGAACTTTGTTGTCAATGGTTGCCATGCTTTTCTTGCTTTATGGATGCTGGTGTGAGTCAATCCAGTGACGTCGCATGAATATTCCCAAATTGAGTGTTAGGTTGAAAGTAATGACTGATGAATCTGATGATTAGTTAGTACGATAACCCAAAGATGGAATTGTTTGTTAGAAATTTTAGGGTATGGAACCCTTGTGAAGTCTTACGAGTAAGAAGACATCATGGGACGTCCACAGTTGCTCTTTAATTTGCAACGTCGACAACTTATTCTTCCGGATAAAAAAAAATAGTCAAATCCAATATGTATGTTAAATAAGGACATGAACTCCACCTTTGCCAGATTCACTGTTTCATAATTTCCCTAGTTGGATGTATGATGGTCATCTATATTTTATTGTTGTACAGTTGTTAAGGCGGTTGCTACTCCGAATTCAGCGGTCGAATTGCCACTGACTGCAGAGAATGTTGAAAGTGTATTGGATGAAATCCGGCCTTATCTCATTTCTGACGGAGGAAATGTGTCGTTACATGAGATTGACGGAAATGTAGTGCGGTTGAAGCTGGAGGGAGCATGTGGCTCCTGTCCAAGCTCTGTTGTGACAATGAAAATGGGTATTGAGCGTCGTTTAATGGAAAAGATGCCTGAAATAGTTGCAGTGGAAGCAATAGCTGATGAAGAAACAGGGCTTGAGCTGAATGAAGAAAATATAGAGAAGGTAATATTTCTTTTGAAGTCGTAATCACACCCATTTAGTAATAAAATTGGATATACTTTTTCATGTTATCTGCTTCACGCATAAAGTAGAAGGGCTTTCCATTAGATGGTCCATTTAGGGTTTAGGTTTAAGAAAAAAGTATTCCTGAGTTTATTTGAATTGATATAGAAAATTGAACCAGTACAATATATAAGAGAATTGTTTAGCAGTGTTTGTTTCATTTGTCTCATAATTTCTGGGGATTCTGAAATCCTTTTCCCTTTATCACTACCAATAAAGAAACCTTGCTTTGTTTGCTCAGTTTAATTATTATACTGCTCCAGTGCCCGCTACCGACCTTAATTTTCTTCCTCGTCATTTCTTGGGTGGTCAAGTGCTTTTGCAGTGGGCTATTAGTAATTTACCTTGTTTCTTGGCCTGGTTATTAGTATAGTGATGATATCCAGTGTGTATCATGGACTAGCTCAAAGAAGCTCAAGACATTAAAACACGAAATCTTTGCCAGTAACTTGGATTTGTAGTCTCTTATGGTCCATTGTGTATTTGAAGGCTAATACAAAAGATAATAATTTCACGTTGAGAATGAGTTCCAAGTATAATACCGGCCCAAGTTACCGAAAAGTTGAGGAAGTTTGGTTCTTGATTTAAGGTTTCCATCTTATGTATTTATATGTACAATTTTGTTTCAGGTACTTGAAGAAATTAGACCCTACTTGGTAGGGGCAGCAGGTGGATCTCTTGAACTTGTGACAATCGAGGATCCTATAGTGAAGGTGCGTATCACAGGTCCAGCTGCTGGGGTAATGACTGTCAGGGTGGCGGTCACGCAGAAGTTGAGGGAGAAAATCCCATCCATTGCAGCAGTTCAACTACTGTGACATTTTTGAGCCGAAGCAAAGAGGTACGCCAGATGATATTGCTGCATTTTTCTTCCAAAAACTCACATCTTGTGCAATAGAGATGATGTATTCTGCAAATCTTTACAAATAGGATAAACATGCACAGTTAATTACTGTGATGCAATAGTGGAGCAATACTTGAATTACATGTAATCGTTGAGAGCTCCTTGTGTTCTTTCCGTGTTCATTGAGATATTTCCGGGGCCGCTGTCAGACTCCTGATATTCTTATTGATTCATGGCTGTATAGTTCCAGTTACTTGTTTTCTGATAATGAATTCAACCAGCTCTAGTATTAGTCACGGACTGGTTTTCGGGTGTCAAATGGAAAATGTTGGTCTGCAGATTTCTATTTAATTTGGAATATAACCGCGAAATGAGCTTCAAAAGATATACACTTCACAAAATTTGATATGAAAGTACACAATTTGATGATGGGCGGTGCTTACCACACACTCTTTTTTACCTCCCGCTAGTTTTCGGCCTGCGGATCAAATGAATTGAAGAAGATCAAAGGACAAAAATCAACATGAGGTGTGTGAGATAAAAATGGATGCGTGGATAGCACTGCCCAGTCACATTGGCTTCCTGTCATTAGTTGAATAGGTTTGGGTTGAGGTTTTGCTTCACTCTATATTTGGTACAACGCATGAGAAAGGTAGCTGCACACCTACACAGAAGGTAGTAACCTTGTGGTTGATAAATTATGTGATTCAATTGAAAAACTCTAATCATTCTGCTTATATCTAAAAAATAAAAATGGAAAACGAATGAAAATGGTTTGAAAATTTTGAGTTTTAACGATAAGGGCAAAATAAATGGTAAAGTGTATAGTACCAGGATTGACTATTTAATGTTAAAATGTGATTTTTCGTTAAAGTGAATAATGTCGGGAGTTTTTTCGTTAAATTTCCAAATAAAAAGGGATTAACATATCATTGACACATTCGAGAGTAACGGATGAACTTTTTATTCTTGCAACCCTAAAGATACATACTCTTGTCACGTGTCCGAAACATTCGAAGCAAGACAGTCTTTCAAATGGTTAGAAAGGTCCATATATGCCAACTTCACATGAACCCAAAAGATTTAGGGTAAAGGTAAAATTTGAGCTTACCCTAAAAATTTACATGATTTGTTTGGGTTGAAAATTGACACAATTAGGAAGTAAAGAAATGGATCAAAAGATGGTGTATTGCACTCATCAACCTTTGGTCGGAGTGAAGTCGTTATTAAGGGAACAACCGGGATAAAAAAAAAAAAAAAAAAAAAAAAACATTCCACATTAAAATAATCCTCTTAAAATTCCAGCTTTATCCCTCATTCTTCTTAAGCCACCCAGCACCAGCACCAGGAAAAGAAACGCCAAACAACCTAATTCGACGAGCACCCACCTCGGATTTCCTCCCCGGACATGGGCATGCTGAGAACTCCCATAGCACTATCCCTTTTTATTTAGGAGTTTTAACGAAATGTTTTCGGTATTGTTCATTTTAACGAAAAATCATATTTTTACATTAAAAAATCAATCACGATACTATTCACTTTATTATTTATTTTGTCCTTATTCAAAACACTTTTTATTAGTTTTCGTTTTTTATTTTATTTAGAGTAGTGATATTCACTAAGTACTTTTTGCTTCTCTCACATTCTTATTAATTTTTTTTGTCTATTGATCTTTTTTAATTCATTCGATCAGACAATCAAAAATTAAAAGAGTCATGAGAAGTAAAAATGAACGTATGAATAACATCACCCTTTATTTATTGCGGACTTAATTCAAATAGAAGTAAAAGAGGTAGTTTAAGTGTAAAAATGGAAGTATGGGTGTCTTCATAAATGCGAACTTTAATGAAAAACTATTGGTACTGTTTATTTTAATGAAAAACCGTATTTTTACACTAAAAAATCAATCATGATATCATTTATTTTACCCTTTATTTTATTTTTATCGTTAAAACTTAAAATTTTTAAGTCTTTTTCATTAATTTCTCTTTCTTAATTTTATGGGGTGTTAATAGAACTGCCTAATAAAAATCCAAATTTATTCGATTCCCAGCACACCCGACACGACACACCACCTCTCTCTCTCTCTCTCTCTCTCTCTCTCTCTCTCATTCATTCTTGTTCTCTCCTTCGCCTTCCGATCTGCTACAGCTGTATATAATTTCAGTAGTCACCGCCAACTCCCAGCGCCGACATTATCTTCAACCGCTTCTCTATCTACATCTCTGTATGCTGTAAAACGACGATCCAGCGAGCGAGCGTGCTTTCCCAACTCACTCCGAGTCCCGGCCGATAAAAAAAATCGGCCCCTCATTTCAGGGGTATTTTGCACTCTTGCGAAAGTAATGATACACTCGAAGCGTGTGAGCAGATAAGAAGAAGAAAGAGGAGGTTTTTAGGGTTTTTGAATTTGGGGTTTTTCTCGCCCATGGCGACCGAGGGTCAGAGCCCCCCGATGAGCTGGAGAGACTCGTACAAGGGGATGTCCTCTGACAACATCAAGGGTTTGATTCTTGCTTTGTCTTCAAGTTTGTTTATCGGTGCTAGTTTCATTGTGAAGAAGAAGGGATTGAAAAAGGCCGGGGCTTCTGGCATCAGAGCAGGTTCGTAATTCAAATATGCTTGTCTGGGTCACTTATAAAGTTCAATTTCTCAACTTTTTATTATTCTGATGTGGGATTGTCAATGGAGCAATTGGGTGTTTGAGTTTGTGCTCGAATTGTTGTAAGTTTCAAAATTTGCGGCGAATCGAGGGAAAAATGGAATATGGGTTAGAATGTAAACCAGTCCAGATTGGTGGGCAAGGCTGTTCTATTTAGTAGATTGAAGTTTATAAGTTAATTGAAGTATCACTTGAAATTAAAATCACTTGGCTTCACATTTTTGTGTTACACTACAAATCTATGACTCAGTTGATTCGAATTGAAAATTTTATATATCTTTCATCCCGAAACCATTTATCAAATCAAGTATTGCAATATGGTCTCTAAGTGATTGTTAGCTTCTGATCTTGTGTAGAAGAATGTTTTGATAGAACATTTTCAGGATATTGACACTTATGATTCAAGTCCATTGATTATTAGTTTATGGGTGTTTTCTTCTTTTTATATGGCATGTTACTGATCATGTCATATATCTCCTGTTTACTTCTGTGGTATTTTAATGCATCACCTTAGCTGTTGTGATAAAAAAATCCCAGTATCCGAACAACATATAGACAGCACTTGGTTTTTGTATGCTCTAGATAATTTCAGCTTTTCTTTCATGCCTTTGGTTCTTGTCTATTCTTTGTGCTTTATGCGTTTCTGTATTCCGTTTGTGTTTGACCGTGGATAATTGGTATGAATCATTTTACATGTTTGGCAGGAGTTGGAGGATATTCGTACCTATACGAGCCACTTTGGTGGGTGGGCATGATAACGAGTGAGTTGAATATTTCTCTTTTTCAGTTACGTGATCAATGAAAACCAATTATTTGTTCTCTGTCGGACTATTATTTCTATTTATGTTACTGAAAGGTACTGAAGGTGTTTTGAATAGTATAGAAAAACAAATGACATTTTCTGACGTGTGTGTAGTACACTGAACATACAAAATGTGGATCATAGTGGACAAATGTTTGATGCAGTAAAACTGGTACACTTCTAGATCAGGGAAAGAAAGGGCGTTGGGGAAATTTATTTTACAAGATCGTAATTCAGGGAAAGCCTTTTACACCATTAGACATGAATAAGTGGGCACACCTGTCATTGAAAATTACTTCATGATCTATAACTTTAAGTCTTTAAGGGTATACTTCTAGTTTTGGCTAACCTTGGTGAGGGAAATTCAAGCATTTTCAGAGAGCATTGACAATAAAATCATTCCTTCCCGCCGGAAACAATAGACCAATGGAGGCAATATGTAGACCAATGTCTGCAGTTTACTCATTAACCTCAGTGTGACTAGAATCCAATCAAAGCTTTGGGGTGGCTTAGCATGGTTTTTCTAGTTTATTGTTGCAATAAAGTAGTTTATTTCTCAGGAAAATAAATAGGAACGACAGATTGTTCTCTAGTATCTACATGCAAATTTATAGCTGACCACAGAAACAAGCATTTTATAGTCCAAGGAACCAAATGGGTATTTATATGTCTTATAGTCATGAACTTATTTTTGAAAAGAAAGATTCTGACTGACAATTGCCATTTTGACAGTGATTGTTGGGGAAATTGCTAATTTTGCGGCTTATGCATTTGCACCAGCTATACTAGTAACTCCTCTTGGTGCTCTGAGCATAATTATCAGGCATGATAAAAATTCATTCATCCATAAGGTTGCTTCTTAGTGTTTAGTGCTGATCGCAATATTATCTTGCAGTGCTGTGCTTGCACATATTATTTTACGTGAGAGGCTTCATATTTTCGGTGTTCTTGGTTGCGCTTTGTGTGTTGTGGGTTCTACAACAATTGTTTTACACGCTCCTCAAGAACGTATGATTGAATCTGTTACAGAAGTTTGGGATCTTGCCATGGAACCAGGTAATTGGGTCATTTTCTGCATCTAATTGTTCTTTTATTGTATTTTATTCTTAATTTGTGTATTAATGTATTGTTGTTGCTCTTTTGGCTACATTAAAAGGAAAAGGGATAATTTCCGATAATCATACTTGTTCCTTGTAGGTTTTCTCTTGTATGCAGCTTTGGTCATAACTGCTGTGTTTATACTTATATTCCACTTTATCCCACAATATGGCCATACACACATAATGGTCTACATTGGAGTTTGTTCCCTTGTTGGTTCCTTATCGGTATGTATTGCTGTATACTTCTATTAATTTCAAGTACTCATGCTTTATCTGTGTCATGCCGTCCTCTTCTCAAATGTGTTTTTTCAAACTCTAAAGGTGTCCTTTGACAGGTCATGAGTGTTAAAGCACTTGGAATTGCTTTGAAGTTGACATTATCAGGCATGAATCAGCTAGTTTACCCTCAAACTTGGGTCTTCACTTTAGTTGTCATTTCTTGTGTGCTTACCCAAATGAATTATTTGAATAAGGTTAGTATTAGTCATTTTTCTGTCCTTATGTTATTATTTATTATATTTATGTTTGTTATTATTTTGATCTTCCAAATAAACACTTGGACATGCTTGAAGTTGTTGTTGTTGTCAAGCATGAATCAACTAGTTTATTCCTACACTTTGGTACACGTTTCAGCTATCATAACTTTTGTGCTTACCCAAATAAATTAGTTATCATAAGGATTACTTCTTTGGCCAAACGCAAGTCTTAGTCTTTCAAAAATGCTTTTAGTTGACACTTTGTGCTCTCACCCAATA